TGGGGTAGGGGGGAGGGAAAAGAAATAATAAATAAACGGCACTTTACATTTCCAGGCGGTTTCTCTCATCGGTTGCACCAGGGTGGGTTTTTTTAACCCCTTTGGAGTCGGATTTCTCCCCGGGATGCTCTGGCCACGCTGGCCCTCCAGTGGAAGCGGGAGATCCYGGAATTTTCCTGGCACGAGGATAATTCAACCCCGGATGGGATGGATGTGGARCCCAAGGACTTAAATCCCGCCTGGGATCAGCTCAGAAATACCTGGGGGGAAAAAAATATTTAGGGGTGTTTAATATTTGGGGTGAGCAGGAGMTGGGAAAAGCYTGAAAAATCCAAATCGGGGCCAAAATGGGAAAATATTTTGAGGTTTTTGTGCTGCAAATGATGCCAGGGTTTGGGGGATGACACCACCACGGTGCCATCCCAAATTCCAGGCTCTTTTTGGGACTTTTTGGGGGTCCCTGACTCCAGGGCTCCTGTGGTGGTGTTTTGGGGTGGCTTTTCCTGTTTTTTTTGGGGTCCCCCAAGGTTCTGGGGTCCCCTGCAGAGCCCTGGGAGCGGTGCCAGGTATCACTGGGGCCAGCTGGGAATTGGGGAGGGGGTTCCCCAGGGTGGGGGTGACCCCGGTCCTGGTGGCACTGYGGGATTTTGGGGGTGCAGGGAGGAACGGGTGGTGTCCAACCCAGATGGAATAAAGGAGTCCCCCCAACCCCCCACCCCTGCTCMTTTTGTGGGGCACAATGGGGGGAGTTTGGGGTCCTCACCCCTCCCCAGCCCCACGGGGGGGTGTCCCCAGTTGTTTTTGGGGGTTCCCGGTGCTGGGGGTTCATTTTTTTTGGGGGGGGAGGGGTGTTTTGGGGCGTGCCGGGGGAAAGTGAAAGCAGTCGGAAGCTGGGGCTGCCGGGCCACAGCAGGGACCCAAAATCCCCCCAAATCCTCACCCCAAATCCCCCCAAACCTCCCGACCCCCTCCCCAACTCTTTATGGGAACACAGGGACTCCTCAAACCACCACCCCCAGCCGTGCTTCCCCTTCCTGCCTCAGTTTCCCCACCTGCTCTATGGGGTTAATGACCCAAAACCCCCCTAAAACCCCCCCGCGGGCCGGGGGAGGGGTGGGGGTGGGCGAGGAGCTGAGCYGGGGTTATTTAAGGCAAAAAAARGGGGAAAARGGGAAATCCCAGAGAGCCGAGCGTGGAACGGCGCCCCCGAGCCCGGGGGGAGGGGGCCGTAGATCAAAGCTTCGCTTTCCCTTTCCTTTAATTAATCCAAACCCCACCGATCATTAATCCCAAATCCACCCTAAAAATCGTTTCCAGGCGGGATCGCCCCGTTGGGGAAGCGGTTGGAGGTGACCCTGGGAGCCGCTCCCCGCGCGGGGGTGGCGCTGTCGCTGTCACGGGTGGGGCCGTGTCGCGGTGTCGCCGTGTCGCGGTGTCGCCGTGTCACCCCCCTGTCCCCGGTGGCTCCGCCGGGATTGTCCCGTCCTTGCCGGGCTGGCTCCCAGCCCACCGTGACCTTGGGCTCCGTGTCCCCTTCCCGGGGCTGGGGGGGCAGGGAAAGGGGGGGACACCGGCGACACCGAGGGTGGCACGGGGGTGGCACGTGGTGGGTCGGGGAG